GGAACGAACTAAAGCGGTTTCAGTTGGAGTAGAGACGTCGCTGGTGCCGCTGTTTTTAGCCGCGAACCCTAATGCATCTGACCGTTGCTCTTTTGATCGAGTGGTGATCATATTTTGCTCCTCTCATATAACTCTAGAGTAAACGATGTTCAAGTCTGGTAAAGGATCTTCATCAGTAATCCTTGACCTAATAGACGAGAATCGAGAATCGTCAAGCCCAAAGAGGAATTTATGAACATGCGCATCCTCCTTATCTTTTTCAATATCTGCGGCTGCCGCACAAGTACAGGGTCGAGATGTTTTGAGGTTTTGGAGTTCCTCCCATAGCTTCGTTAATCTTCCGTAGTAGTCAAGTACCGATTGCCCATCTTGTTTGCAGTTTGTAATAGCGTCCTGAAGTTGATGAATTCGAGTTCCGTTTTTGACAGAAAAACGAAACCGTAGAGTCTCCCACAGTTTATGAGCATCAGGAACGTGTGTAACCGTTGACCTAACCTTAGGATCAATAGACGTACGGATCCATCCGACAATCATTGAATTCGCCGCAAGCCAGCGAGTCAGATCTGGGCTATCATCGGTTGGTTTTATAATCACGCCATCGATGAACCCCATCTTCCGTTTAGCTTGTAGAGAATTGCGGAGCTCCGTCGACCACTCCGGATAGTTGTCATGCGTAAGACGTACTGAAGTGATGAGAGCACCAGGATTGTCTGATGGATGCAGGTAGTAGGGTGATATGTCAGGAGAAGCTCCTGGTGTAAGAGTAGTAGATTCCGTTGTAGGTAGTGTAGAAGAAGTTTCATCCGACATCTTGATCGATGAATGTAGTAAACGTAGAAGAAGAAGAAGAAATATAAAAGTGAAATCAAACGTTGAGGTGTTTGATTATGAAAAAGAAATTAGGTAAGATCTTGGCTCTGATACCATATAATGTTTATAGCATAGAATTGTGTGTCTGTTATTCATCGACCAAGGTCTCTATATATACAACATAGTAAGCATTATCCTAACTAGGAATGGTAATACATGAATAACCCAAATCCCATAGATATAGGAGTTTATATTTATCCTAATCCTATTAATAGAGGTACGGAGTTCAAGTGTATATGATATGGTTACATGCAGGACAAGCCAATATGAATGAAATAGGTATATAGTTATTGATTGCTCAAGTGTTCATATGCAAAACAAAGCGTATTTATGTCAAAGGTCAGATTTAAGTAAGCTGGTGAGAGGATCGCAGGATCCTTATGGACAGGCATGGCCATTGTAATAACTTTCACTTTATACGTTTTATTTATACCAACGGACCCTTACCCGTGGACCCATATTAATTAAATAAAATATATATAATTTCATCAATATAAGTTCAAATAAAAAGTTCGTGTTAGATATGTACACGTATATTAATAATTTAATACCATGCTATTCTTCTATTCAGGAAAATTATGTAACAAAAAGTTTGCAAAAAAAGAGGTAGAAAATATCTAAAGTAATTCAATTGTTATATATTACGCTGAGATTTCCCTAAGATATTTAGTCAGATTTTCAAATAGAATCTCATCATTCTTTTTGAGAACATTTTCTACCCGATGTCTAGTACCTCAGAAACTTTATAGTATAGACGTCTTCTCTGTGGAAGCAATAGTTAAGGTTTAAAGGTTTCTACACCTAGATCTGGGGTTCGAAACCCAGACAACACAATTTCTCGCAGATTATAGGATACAAGTTTATCGGAGGTTCCAGAGTACTGTAGGAAGAGTCGTTCGTTGTGATCGTTTGCTGCAGAGTGAAAATGTCTATCAAGGGTGTCATACACGATCCAAATGTTACAGGAGAGTTTCATTGTGGAATCATCCATGTAGTTGTTCATCAAGATCACTTATGTTGCAGGTAGTTGATCATCATATGTAATAGAGTTAATAATTATATGATAATGTAATTGTTACCCAGTTAAAAAAAAATACATCCTCTTTTTAAGATATCGTTTTTACTATGCTCGAACGTCCATGACTTCGCTCACTTGGTCCGTGAATCCTATACGAACGAGGCGTTAATATATTTGTAGATTAGAAAGTCTTGCTTAAAGACCTTCCAATAACCATATGAACTTTATATATATTTTATCTTCACTTACACAATATCACGAATCATTTTTCGATAAATCATACATTTTTCTTATGAAGCATATTTAACTATATTTTTTTCTGGATATGTAAACGAAAAATAAATATATTTTAGTGACATAAATAGTAAAATAAATTATTTAAATATTTTCACATATATCACAAATGAATTATTTAAATACATTTTTAGTCAATGATGTAAATGGCTTAGTTAGTTACTGAATAGAAAATTGCTTCTACTAAAACATCATTCCCGACGCAGATCACGGATAAGTAATACACATACTTCTCATTTCTTCCCCAGTTTAGATTTTACTTGGTTTAAAAATTCAAATTTATCATATGCGTGTTAAAAAAATCTCTTAACAAAAACTTATAAATTAAAGAATGAAGGGAGATCCCAAAATATGGTTGCAAAGGAGATAAATAAAACGACGGTTGATAAACCTTAGACAAAATCCAATAGATGCCCTTTCCGTGGTAACCCTTAGTTACTCAATTCCTAATTTGTCTCTGACTCCATTATCGCGTGTTCTAATGCAATCAATACTCAGAAGAATTGTTTTTCGAGTCACTGAGGAAAAAATGATGAGACGTACGTAGGATTTACAACTTAGTGTAATCAAGAAAGTATATATTGCAAGCATAATCCAGCAAAACAGTAAATATGTACAACAGTTACATTTTAATGGGCTGAGAATCGGGGAACATTTAATAGGTTGTTCGTGAGAGACAAAGGACAAAAAGAATTTAGAGCAGTGCCGTAAATGGCAAAGCTTTTGCTCGTTGTTACTAAAGAGACTCGTGATGTCTACGTGACGGGCTCGTATATAAATATAGTGTCGTCATCTTTTTGCCATTCATTTTCTATACATTCAATACTCTCTGCGCTTAACATTTATATATTTTTTATCAGATAACAATAGCAAATTATATATTTCAAAAAATTTAAGTGTAGTTATGAAATAAACAATCAGTAAATTATATATTTTTGAAATGAATAGCACAGTGTTTTCATTATTTTTTTTATAACCGAATGTTTTGACCTACCAGAATGGTTCAGATTAAAGATTAATCCTTCCGTGGACACACATTCAAAAGTGAATACTAGTTAGGTGAACACAATCTTTAATTTTAGACACTGGAGTAATACATATAAAGTTTTCAGTGATCAATGCAAATCGAATCCGGAGCCGTAGTCGCAGCCGCAAGCTGTTTATCACCATACTAACTCCTTGTGGTTATGTTTTCATAGTTACATATAGAGTTTTTTCTTAAAAATAGTGACTCTGACGAGAAAAATGAAAAATTGGATGTGTAACTACTCAAAGCATAATTTAAATGTTAACTATTCGATTAAACTACGGAATAATATACGATTCAGAATGTCTGCAGATATTTTGTTATACATTTACAGTTTTACACTATCCCGGTGCTCATTCAGCTTACATTCTTGGCATCCAAAAAAAAAAAAATCAGCTGCATTCTAATATATATATACCTCATGGTCTATATATATGTATAGACAATCTTTCACAAGGACATTTATTTCTACTTTATGTATTTTCATATGATTGAACAAGTGGATGGTCTCAGCGTTCATCTCTTTAACACAACCAAAAGTATGACCCCTAATATGAATTTAATTTAATTTTATGCTCATTGTATATTAATGTTGTTTTAATTTGCTGACATTTTCGTTAACCTTAATATATATGGAACGGAATTAACCGATCCATATATGAGTATTATTCAACAATTAAAACAACAAACAATTATATATGGCCTACCACAAATCAATTAATACATGCCCACTTGTGAATATGGTCCAAGATCTTCCACATAAACGTCTTCTTACTAACATAGGCCTTGTCGCCGACTCTACTATTCATTAGACGTGTTCGTTTCATTGACTCTTGTTCAGATTTTATACCGGGTTGAATCCGTATACTTAAACGGTCTCATATTTGTACTTTGCGCTCCAATCAAGTATATTAGAAAGGGTATAGACACTGATTTGTTAGTTACATTCTTAAGTCTTGAACACTACTAAACTTAACTAAGTATGACCCCTTGAGTAGATTTGTACTTGGCGCTTCAAGACACATTCATTAAATGCATATACAAGTAGGTATACCGTATACGCATACAACTACATTACATTTACATGTATAGACACTAATTTGTTAATTACATTCTTAAGTCTTGAACACTACTATACTTAACTAAGTATCTGATCTGACCCCTTGAGTAGATTTGTACTTGGCGCTTCAAGACGCATTCATTAAATGCATATGCAAGTAGGTATACCGTATACGCATACAACTACATTACATTTACATGTATATGCAAGTACGTATGCAGGTATAGCAGTATACATAGTTATAAATATCTTGTAAGGCACGGAGAAAGGGTAGAAAGAGGGGCCAAATGTTAGAAGGAGATGTACGTGGAGTGTCTATTGTGCCAAGGTATTGAGAATGGACACAATACATAACTTTTTTAAAAATATTAAACCATTCTCTGGAGAGAGAATATAAAAACACCGGTGGCCACACTGTGATAATCTAAGTCTAGGTGGATTCGAACTCAGGTCCCGTAAAATCTATGGAACGCCATGTTATCACCCGACCATAGACACGCGGTTATAATAACTTTTAATGTGCAACGTGGTTTCATTCATTCACCTATCCCACGTCGTTTTCAAACCTTAAATCTCTCTTTTCCATTTGTCCTCTCTGTCTATATTAATCACCTGGATAGTTTCTCCTATTCACTCGTCACCTTTTCTCGTGAGCTCACTCAAGGGTCCAGAAAGTGTTTTTTTTTTAATTATTTTTTTTTCTTTCTCCTCTCTCGTTTTTGAGAGAAGAGATGGGAAGGGCTCCATGTTGTGAGAAAATAGGACTCAAGAGAGGGAGATGGACGGCTGAGGAAGATGAGATCCTCACTAACTATATTCAAGTCAATGGTGAAGGTTCTTGGCGGTCCTTGCCTAAGAAAGCTGGTATGTGTATTTTTAAATATCCGCATTTTATCCTTTCTTATCTGATCCATATATATATATAGCCGGTGTTTAAAAAACGATTTAAGTTTTTTTCATACTGTTATACAAGCTATACTGACCATGACGTTTCTTGGTTCGGTTTTACGGGTTTCTTGCATTATAACTTGGCGAATATAATAGAAATGGACTTTACAGATCAAAATTAAGAAAGGGAAAAAATACGTTGTTTATGCATGGAAAAGCCAAAATGTATCAATTTATTAAGAAAAAATTGTGATTTTATACATTTGATTGTAAATTCTGTTTACTAAAAGAACACATTGCTCTCATATTATGCGTGGTCTAACAACAATTGCAAATAATGTGAAGGATTGTTGAGATGTGGAAAGAGCTGTAGATTAAGGTGGATAAATTATCTGAGAATGGACTTGAAAAGAGGAAATATTACGGCCGAGGAAGATGACACGATCGTCAAGTTGCATTCCCTTCTTGGCAATAGGTAAATGATGGGCAAATTTATTTTCAAAGAGTTACATATAAGTTATAACAATCTGTACATAAATCAGAATTTCTTGTGAAAACTTATAAGCATATAGAAATGGTCAAGACTCCGATCCAACTGAAAAAACAATCGAACAACAGAGTGATCAGGTGTACTGTCCTGATCTCGTGACCATTACTTTACTGACATCATATATTTATTACATTATCATTAACAATTTAATTTTTTTTTTTTTGTAAAAGGGCTTCATTAACAATTTAATTAAAACATAAATAAGACAAATATTTAATGAGTTTAGATATATACTACAATTTATACATGAAAAAAATAGTCACTAAGCCTAATGAAACTGGATGAATTTTGTACGTGGATTTCTCAACCTTTTGAAAATATTTCTCATTGTAAATGCTGATGGCCCTAATATACTAGTACCATTTATTCTTTAGTAAATATTATGAAATTTTCTTATTTTGATAAGGTCGTCCAACCCTTTAATTAATCCACCCATATATAAAACCCTACATATATACTACATCACTTTTTGTCAATCAAAAGCATTGACATTATGTTGGCATAGATCTATATCTAAATTGATTGCTCTAATCAATTTGTCTCATGTATGTACGGTCAAAGTTGTTACCGTCTCTCTAAGACTATGATTATCCCTAATCTGTTTAGGGAGTTTCTTAAAAAAAATATTTTTTTATCTAATTAAAAAAAAATTAAAAAGTAAACCAATTGCGAACTGTCATGTCTCATGGTATCCGCAAACAATGCAAGAAACGGACCAAAAACAATCCTTATTTCATACCTTTTAGAACCGAGTTTAGGTTTTTTGTGGGGCTCAGACCATGATTTTTTATTTTATAAAATCTCCTAAAGACCCGTGATATTCATGCTCTAACTTCTGTTAGAGGTTAATCTTTGTTGGACCGATCTAACCTCTTATTAAAACGAATTATGTACACACATAACTTACTATATACTATCAGTATTCAAAAATATACTCAATCTATTTCAAAATGTTTCATGTTTTAACATTTTCACACTTATTAAAGAAAAATGTTAAATTTTAATTACCAATACATAATTTTCCATAATTAACTATTCCTTACAAATTTTAACCAAGAAAAATTTAATAAACACGATTATATTTTTTTGAATTTTATAATTTGCCATTGATAAATACATTTATTTTTTTTTTTTAAATGTATATTTTTGAAATATTATTTTTTTAAATCATGGATCTTTTTTATTTCTCTAAATTTATATTATCTCACTCTCACGTTTGTGCCTTCTGACCAAGCTTTTTTTGTTTGTGTGTAGATGGTCGCTTATTGCAACACATCTACCAGGAAGAACAGACAACGAAATTAAAAACTATTGGAACTCACATCTCAGCCGCAAAATCTACGCCTTCACTGCCCTCCGCAGAGCTGAGCACGGTCTAAACGTCAACGATTTAGTTCTGAATAATACTTCTTCTTGTTCTTCCTTGGGAGCCAATAACACGAACATGACGAAGAAGAAGAAAGGAAGAACTAGTAGGTCATCCATGAAGAAACACAAGCAAATGTTGACGGCCTCACAATGTTCTCCACAACCGAAAGAGCTAGAGCGAGAGATCAGTGAGGAAGGTCACAATGGTAATTGCGAAGGTAAGTCTTTGGAGCCTTATGAGTGGTTGGATGGTGAGATGGAGAGGCTCATGAGTAGTTTCGTCTGGGGATGTACTAATGAAGAGGCTGTGGTTGAAGTCAATCACGATTATTCTGATCAGAACAAGGTGTGTGAGAGTGGGAACAACAGTAGTTCTTGTGTGGGTGTGTCTGAGGAAGAAAATCTAGAGGCTGATCATGATATGAATGCCGAAAAGGAAAAAGAAGGGAGTGGTTTGAGTTCGAGTTCAAAAGAAAATGGTGATAAAGATTGGTGGGTTGGTCTATCTGATTATCTAGAAGTTGGATTTGGGACTGATGGTGAGTTGCTTGGTTGGGAGTTTCAAGGTAGTGTACCTTGTCAAAGTGATGATCTCTGGGATCTCTCGGATTTGGGAGAAATATAGCAAGTTGATCGCATACGAGAAAGTCTATTAACCCAATAAATATCGATCTTTTGATTGTAAGATATAGTGTTTTATTTGGTTATAGTGGAACTAGAGGTTGTTAATTATAAGATTGTGCTCAATTACTTTATTAGATGAATGAGTAGTACAACGTATATAGAGCAGAGTGCATAGCGTTTTCTATACAAAAGATATTTACAGTATCTTATTTCCTTGTATACTCTACAGCTGTGTGTATTAGCTTGTTGGAGTGTATTAAGAGAACTAACTAGGATTAAATATAGGCTCTAGTCTAGACCAGTTCTAAGTATAGATATATAAGGAAAGGGTCACAATGTAATTAGTTTAGCTTGATACCCTAGCTCTAAACCTTGTATATATGTACGTGTACATTGAGAATATAATGATCAAGTCCTTTAACCTATATGTGATCTCTATTAACTGAACTTGGAATCAGACTTCCTACTGCACCAGTAATATATTGTGACAATATTGGAGCAACATATCTATGTGCCAATCCCGTGTTTCATTATTGGATGAAACACATTGCCTTGGATTACCATTTCGTACGAGAACTAATCCAGTCAGGCTGCCTACGAGTTACACATGTTTCTACACGGGATCAGCTTGCCAACGCACTCACAAAGCCACTGCCAAGGACACCATTTCAACAAAGTTGTCACAAGATTGGAATGGAGAAACCCCCTCCATCTTGAGGGGGCATATAGATATATAAGGAAAGGGTCACAATGTAATTAGTTAAGCTTATTACCTTAGCTCTAAACCTTGTATATATGTACGTGTACATTGAGAATATAATGATCAAGTCCTTTAACCTATTACTAAGCACTTTTTGTCGATTTTGTACTCTTTTTGATGCTATTCAATTTCATTCTATATTTCAGCTTAGGATCATTGGAATCATGAATCTAAAGTCATTACGATGCTCAGCTTAGGATCATTGAAATCATGGAATTCTAAGTCATTACTATGCTATGCTCAACTTACATAAATTTTCTGCATGATTTTAACCTTTTATTCGTTACTATGTCTCAAGGCTGTATGTTTTGTATTTTCAGTTGGGGACATTCAGTCTCTTTCTTTCTTCTCTGTCAAATTTAGACCGCAAAATGCCAATCTCTTGTTTTCTAGTCTTGTGATATACGCGTTCAAACAATTTCGAGTTTTGTCACTTTGACCAATGAATTTGATAATTCAAGATAACACACAAAAGCTCTAATCCTATTTGGAACCATGCAGAATATTATTAATATATGGTCTGAATCTCTTATCTACCTGGCTATTCTCCTTACCACTAGTGCCATCTATCTTTGGTTGTTTGTTTTATTTCTCTACATAATTAATCCATCTTAGGGTATCTTTTGCATCAAATCTTTGTTTTACCCTATATCATCACAATCTTTATCATCTATTAAAGGGAAATAACCAAATGCAAATGCGTCCAATTATTTTAAAATATGCCGATTTTTAAACTCATATAAAAAGATCCTTAGATTTGCCACCCAAGATTCAAGTGTTAAGTGTAAAGCTACCACATTTCTACCAGATGTTAATTTGTATGCACATATAAATGGTGAGAATTTTGAAGGAGTTGGTGGCCATCACTACATACATAACTCAGGATTCAAAATTCGTAATCTTAATGGACGGCTATGATCAATTACTTGTTAATCACTGACCGACCATTTAAAGAAATCGTACACTACTCCGTATCTGATGATTCTGATCACACCGGTCAAAGTGGCGCGCACTTTTCTTTTCACCAAACCACATATGCGAAAAAAAACTTTCCCTCGACACTTCCCCATGTTTCGCCATTTTGGCGGGTCGTAATGAATAGATGAAATCGGGGTTTCTATCTCAAGTGGTAAAAGTATTACAGCTGTGAGTACTGACATTTATGTTCGAATTTCGGCCACTAAAAAATTAACATTTCGATATCGCCAGAGACAGAGGACCACACGTGACAACACATGACTAGTCTAAATCACTTCTGTGAGGACAAGATACCTCTGTATAATTAAAAAAAAAAAAATAAATAGATGAAGAGTTTAAGGGCATTTTCGTCATATCGTACAAAAAATGTTAGGGCTTAATACCGAACCAATTTATAAATCGCGTTTGGTTAACATCCACCGTACGTTCTATGTCGGTTCGGTTCTTTAAAAAAAAAAAATCTGTCTCTTCACTCTCCTGCATGTCGGTTTAAGTTGGATTTCAAATCTCTCTCTCTCTCTGATTCTGTTTCCCGAAGAGACGTGATCATCATCTCAAAACCCTAGACACAGACTCTGATCCTTTCTACTCCTCTGCTTGATCTCTGTGTTCATTTCGAATCAGAAGTGGAGAAGGTGAATGATCAGATCTTCTGGTCTCTTGTTTCTTTAGCTCCTTAGTGATGATCTGCTTAAAGCTTGATCGCTTTGTATTTGATCTTCTTACTTTTCTCAGGTCTTGATGGATTCGGACACAACCAACAAAAGTAGTAATGAAAAGAAGACTTGCGCCGATTGTGGAACCAGCAAGACACCTCTTTGGCGTGGTGGTCCCGCTGGTCCTAAGGTCAGAACAATAAACTCTAATTACATATCCCATTTTTTTTGAATATTTGGTCTGATCTGTTATATTGTATTGTTTTTTATGTGTTTTTATGTAGTCGCTATGTAACGCGTGTGGGATCAGAAACAGGAAGAAGAGACGAGGAGGAGAAGATAAGAAACAGCTGAAGAAATCAAATCACGGCGGAGGCGGCGATCTCAGAAGAAACCCTAGATTTGGTGAATCACTGAAACAGAGGATGGTGGATTTTGGGATGGGGAAGAGATCAACGGTGGAGAAGCAGCGGCGGAAGCTCGGCGAGGAAGAGCAAGCGGCTGTGCTTCTCATGGCTCTCTCGTATGGATCAGTGTATGCTTAGTGGTCTCTAGATCCCATCATTGTAGACCGTGGCTAAGAAGAACTCAACTAAAAATATTAGGGTTTTCTTCTTTAATCCGGAGAGCAAATGGTGATAACTAACAAATGTTTAGTACAATTTGTTTCTGTCGGAAAATTGTTTGTTTCTGTGTTTTTTTTTTCTTTTATATTCTGGGCATCTCGATGCTGCGAGATGAATTGAGAAAAAAAAAAGAATTTTCGGTGGTAGATTTTTAAAGTTTTGTGGGGTATCTTAATAGTATGATTTTAATTTATTGTTCTGTGTTGAGATTTTGTCTTTATTCGGACAGGAATGGGATTTGCCTACCTGTTAAGCACAATCCTGTCATGCCCGAAAATAATAAATTAGAAGTTCTAACGAAAAATCAGAGTATGGCAAGACAACTGGTTGCTCGGTGATCCTCAGGCTTCGCCAGCTGGTCCTGGTATATTTATCCATCCTAATCTTCGTGTTAAAGATTTATTTTATGCTGGAACATCCTCATGGAATCAGCCTCTCCTGCGACAATTATTTCAGCCGGAAGATGTTCAAAGAATATTGCGCCTTCGTCCAAGTATAACAGGTGCTCAAGACTTACTGTATTGGAAGCTTAGTAAGACAGGTTCATATACAGTTAAGTCTGGTTACTATGTACAAAGGCAGTTGGACGATGAAAACGCACAACAAACTCAGGTTCTACCCTACTCTACTTTACAATTTAGAAATTCTCTCTTACAAAAATTATGGACACTAAAATTGCCACCCAAGGTTAAAATATTTTGGTGGAAAGTGCTCCATAATGGGTTGCCTGTAGCTAAGAATCTAAGTAGAAGAGGATGTAGAATTAATCCTGAGTGTCAGCTCTGTGGTGACGATATAGAATCTGTTTCTCATTTGATATATGAGTGTCGTATTTCTAGAGAAATATGGCAGTTGGCTTGTCCTGATTTGTCACAGAGCTTAAGAGATAGTATTGACCTCCAACTGCTTATACAGAACATAATTAATGAAACTACACGGGGGTCGCAGGGATGTTTAGCATGGTTTTTAGGGTGGAGAATATGGAAGATGCGGAATAGGTTACTGTTTGAAAATCATCGTGATCATATTGTTCAGGTTATCAAGGCAGCTATTATGGATATGAATCTATGGAATGAAGCCATGATGCAAGATGAACCTGTGCAAACTTATCATGTAAACCAACCGCTAACCATAAATGATATTCTTCCATCAGAAGCAACTTTCTATTGTATTGCGGACGCTTCTTGGAAGTCTAACAATGAACCTGCAGGTATAGGGTGGTCCTTACATAGTCGACAAGGCACTCTCCTCATCCAAGGTAGCTCAGCAATCACTCCAACGAACTCAGCACTTGAAGCCGAGGCAATGGCAACTTTGCTAGCTGTTCAACAATTGCATAATCTTGGCTATAAGAACGTTACAATTCTTGGAGACAATGCTCAATTGTTTAGGGGTTTGGAGTCGAACCGATCTAAGAGAAGTAAAGCTTTTGCTTTTAACGAAGCTTCTACAATAGCTCATGATATTCTCAACCTCTCTGAGTCGAACCTCTTTTCTTTTAGACATGTCTCTAGGAACCTTCTACATTATGTTGATCAATTAGCAAAGAAAGCTAGGTCATCTAAACAGCAATATGTAATAACGTGGCTCAATGTTTAGTTCATTGTACTCTGTTTCAAGGTTGAATGAAATGAAAATGTTGACAAAAAAAAAAAAAAGAAGTTCTAACGAAAAATATTTTGAATTTTGTTAAATTTGTAATTTTGCCCCCTACTTTTCATCGTCAACTGGGTTTTATTTTCCTTGTCATTTGACAAATTTCTTTTCTTATCAATTACTTGGACGACAAGTACTAATAATAGTTGCAGTTATTATTTTGTACATAATGATGATTTGATTGTGATAATCGCATTATTATTATATATCAACCAACTATCAAGATAAAAACTATCATTAAGAGTTTGAGACCTTGGGTGTTTATATTTCTCCAAAAAGTAGAGTTTTTATAGGGGTTAGTCCACTTATTAGGTGGTATATAAAGTTTAACTAAATTATTTATTGGGAAATTTTAAAAGATGCTCATATTAGATGAAAATAAGTTTGGCAAACATATATAAAAATTTGGAATGTGGTTAGGTAATTTTAAAAACCACTAAAGAGGCTAAACAGTATAGATAGTATTTTCCTCGAAAATTCAATCTTTTCGTACGGGGCACCTACAAATTTCAAGAAAAACTAGAAAAAATAATATTTGTGTTTTAATGCATAGTTTCATCATGCACTAACATAGTATGAAGATTAAAGAGGTTTGAGACTTTAGGTGTTTCTGTTTCTCCAAAAAGTAGAGTTTATAGGGGCTAGTCCACTTATTAGGTGCTATATAAAGTTTAAATAAATTATTCAATGGGAAATTTGAAAAATGCTCATATTACATAAAATTAAGTTTGGCATACATATTATAAATTTGTAATGTTATTAGGTATTTTTTAAAACCACTAAAGAGGCTAAATAGTATAGATAGTATTTCTCCGAAAATTCAATCTTTTCGTAGGGGTTAACCTACAATTTCAAGAAAAACAAGAAAAAATCATAATTTTTTTAATGCATAGCTGCATCATACACTAAAATTGTATTTCTAAAGGGATTAGTCAACTTATTAGGTGGTATATAATGTTTAAATAAATTTTTCATTTGGAAATTAGAAAATATGCTCATATTAAATGAAAATAAATTTGGCATACATATATATAAATTTGGAATGTGGTTAGATATTTTTTAAAACTACTAAAGAAGCTAAATAGTATAGATAATCTTTCCGTAGGGGTTAACCTATATATTTCAAGAAAAACTAGAAAAATCATATTTTTGTTTTAATGCATATCTGTATCATGCACTAACATAGTATGAAGATTAAAGAGGTTTGAGTCATTAAGGGTTACTGTTTCTGCAAAAAAAATATAGTTTTTATAGGGCTTAGTACACATATTAGGTGGTATATAAAATTTAAAGAAATTATTCATTGGGAAATTTGAAAAGATGTTCATACTACATGAAAATAAGTTTGGAATACATATATATAAATTTGGAATGTGGTTAGGTATTTTTTGAAAATCACTAAAGAGGTTAAATAGTATAGATAGTATCTCTCCGAAAATTCAATCTTTTCGTAGGGGTAAACCTACAAATTTAAAAAAAACAAGAAAAATCATATTTTTATTTTAATGCATAGTTGCATCACGCACTAACATAGTGTGAAAATTAAAGAAGTTTGAGACCTTAGGTGTTTATGTTTCTCCAAAAAATAGAGTTTTTATAGGGGTTAGTCCACTTATTAGGTGGTATATAAAGTAAATAAATTATTTATTGGGAAATTTGAAAAGATGCTCATATTAGATGAAAATAAGTTTGGCATACAAATATAAAAAATTGGAATGTGGTTAAGTAATTTTGAAAACCACTAAAGAGGCTAAATAGTATAGATAGTATTTCTCTGAAAATTCAATTTTTTTGTAGGGATTAACCTACAAAGTTCAAGAAAAACTAGAAAAAATAATATTTTTGTTTTAATGCATAGCTGCATCATTCACTAACATAGTATGAAGATTAAAGAGGTTTGAGACGTTAAGTGTTCCTATTTCTTTAAAAAAATAGAGTTTTTATAGGGGTTAATCCACTTATTAGGTAGTACATAAAGTTCAAAAAAGATTATTCACTGGGAATTTAGAAACGATGCTCATATACCATGAAAATTAGTTTGGCATAAATATATACAAATTTGAAATGTGGTTGGGAATTTTTTAAAAACCACTAAAGAGGCTAAATAGTATAGATAGTATTTCTCCGAAAATTCAATCTTTTCCTAGGGGTTAACCTACAAATTTCATAAAAAAACAAGAAAAATCATATTTTTGTTTTAATGCATAGTTGCATCACGCATTAACATAGTATAAAAATTAAAGAGGTTTGAGACCTTAGGTGTTTATGTTTCTCCAAAAAATAGAGATTTTATAGGGGTTAGTCCACTTATTAGGTGGTATAAAAAGTTTAAATAAATTATTCAATGGGAAATTTGAAAAAAATGCTCATATTACATAAAACTAAGTTTGGCATACATATATATATAAATTTAGAATGTGCTTAGGTATTTTTTAAAACCACTAAAGAGGCTAAATAGTATAGATAATATTTCTCTGAAAATTCAATTTTTTCGTAGGGGTTAATCTACAAAGTTCAAGAAAAACTAGAAAAAATAATATTTTTGTTTTAACGAATAGCTGCATCATTCACTAACATAGTATGAAGTTTAAAGAGGTTTGAGACGTTAAGTGTTCCTATTTCTCCAAAAAATAGAATTTTTATAAGGGTTATTAGGTAGTATATAAAATTCAAATAAATTATTCTCTGGGAATTTAGAAACGATGCTCATATACTATAAAATTAGTTTGGCATACATATATACAAATTTGAAATGTGGTTAGGTATTTTTACAAACAACTAAAGAGGCTAAATAGTATAGATAGTATTTCTCCGAAAATTTAATCTTTTCGTAGGGGTTAACCTACAAATTTCAATAAAAACAAGAAAAATCATATTTTTGTTTTAATGCATAGTTGCATTACGCACTAACATAGTATGAAAATTAAAGAGGTTTGAGACCTTAGGTGTTTATGTTTCTCCAAAAAATAGAGGTTTTATAGGGGTTAGTCCACTTATTAGGTGGTATATAAAGTTTAAATAAATTATTTATTGGGAAATTTGAAAAGATGCTCATATTAGATGAAAATAAGTTTGGCATACATCTATAAAAACTTGGAATGTGGTTAGGTAATTTTAAAAACCACTAAAGAGGCTAAATAGTATAGATAGTATTTCTCCGAAAATTCAATCTTTTCGTAGGGGGGTTAACCTAAAAATTTCAAGAAATAGAAAAAATAATATTTGTGTGTTTAATGCATAACTTCATCATGCACTAACATAGTATGAAGATTAAAGAGGTTTGAGACTTTAGGTGTTTCTGTCTCTCCAAAAAGTAGAGTTTTATAGGGGCTAGTCCATTTATTAGGTGCTATATAAAGTTCAAATAAATTATTCAATGGGAAATTTGAAAAAATGCTCATATTACATAAAATTAAGTTTGGAATATATATATATATATAAATTTGGAATCTGGTTAGGTATTTTTTGAAACCACTAAAGAGGCTAAATAGTATAGATAGTATTGCTCTGAAAATTCAATTTTTTCGTAGGGGTTAACTTACAAAGTTCAAGAAAAACTAGAAAAAATAATATTTTTGTTTTAATGCATAGCTGCATCATTCACTAACATGGTATGAAGATTAAAGAGGTTTGAGACCATAAATGTTCCTATTTCTCCAAACAAAATAGAGTTTTTATAGGGGTTAGTCCACTTATTAGGTAGTATATAAAGTTCAAATAAATTATTCATTGGGAATTTAGAAACGATGCTCATATAACATGAAAATTAGTTTGGCATACATATATACAAATTTGAAATGTGGTTAGGTATTTTTACAAACCACTAAAGAGGCTAAATAGTATAGATAGTATTTCTCTGAAAATTCAATCTTTTTATAGGGGTTAATCTAAAAATTTAAAGAAAAACTAAAAAAATCATATTTTTGTTTTAATTCATAGATGCATCATGCACTAACATTTTATGAAGATTAAAGAGGTTTAAGACCTTAGATGTTATTGTTTCTCCAAAAACTAGAGTTTTTATAAGAGTTAGTCCACTTATTAGGTGGTATATAAAGTTTAAATAAATTATTCATTGGGAAATTATAAAATATGCTCAAATTAGATGAAAATAAGTTTGGCATACATACATATAAATTTGGAATGTGGTTAGTATTTTTTAAAACTACTAAAGAGGCTAAACAGTATAGATAATCTTTTCGTAGGGGTTAACATACAAAGTTCAAGAAAAACTAGAAAAAATAATATTTTTGTTTTAATTCATAGCTGCATCATTCACTAACATAGTATGAAGATTAAAGAGGTTTGAGACGTTAAATATTTCTATTTCTCCAAAAAAGAGTTTTTATAAGGGTTAATCCACTTATTAGGTAGTATATAAAATTCAAATAAATTATTCATTGAGTATTTAGAAATGATGCTCATATACCATGAAAATGAGTTTGGCATACATATATACAAATTTGAAATATGGTTAGGTATTTTTACAAACCACTAAATAGACTAAATAGTGTAGATAGTATTTCTCCGAAAATTCAATCTTTTCGTACGGATTAATCTTCAAATTCAAGAAAAAACTAGAAAAAATCGTTTTTTTTTGTTTTAATGCATAGATGCATCATGCACTAACATAGTATGAAGATTAAAGGGGTTTGAGTCATTAGGGGTTACTGTTTCTCCAAAAAAATATAGTTTTTATAGTGGTTAATCCACATATTAGGTGGTATATAAAATTTAAAGAAATTATTCATTGGGAAATTTGAAAAGATGTTCATACTACATGAAAATAAGTTTGGAATACATATATATAAATTTGGAATGTGGTTAGGTATTTTTAAAAACCACGAAAGAGGTTAAATAGTATAGATAGTATTTCTCCGAAAATTCAATCTTTTCGTAGGGGTTAACCTACAAATTTCAAGAAAAACAAGAAAAAAAATATTTTTGTTTTAATGCATAGTTGCATCACGCACTAACATAGTAT